TATTCCAAGATTAACTGGAATTTCCTAGACATTAATTGAATAACCCAGCGAAGTAAGGGTTATTGGTGAGATTAGGGCAAGAAGTGAGAAATGTTTAGTGGATGATGTTTGCCATGAAGAGCAGCCAGATCATGAGGTGGAGAAGCAGCATGTTCTTGTGGTTCTACAGATCCATGGAGCAGTCAGGAACCTTCTAGACTAAAAAACACTGAAAATGCTCTGATACTATATCAAGAAGTTGAGATTGTTGCAAAGCATAACGATGATGCATATCTATAAGTATTGTGACATTCTTTTAATGATCTGACCTGAATAAACTGCATTTATCAGGAATCATGTGAATCTCTAAGCCTCGAAAAGATGATGATATATCCCATTACTCATTAATGAAGTCTCAGCCACAAAGCAGTATAGATACTGTCAGCAGGTACTTGTCTGCGCTATCATTTTACAATAGGATGAGAGAAGCAGGTTAATCCGTCATTGTTTAAATGGATAGCAACATATTGGGATAATTTTCTCAAAAGTTTCAGGCAGGTTATATCAGGAAATGATGAAACTTGGGAATATGCAGTGCAATGTACGATACTTAATACCCTAGAGAACTTTCATGAAGAGTAGCCCAATGAGCGGAACACAGTTCGTGCTGACTTGCGCCACAAAATAGTCCCTATTTGATGAAAATAACCTTAACATTAGTATGGACGAAAAAAGATCTGACTGGCCCGTCTGTTAAGCCATTGAAGAAGTGTATTGTTGTTAGTGGTAGGGTCAATAGGATTTTACATTGTATTTAAAGAAATATTGGATACAAGCCTAAAGAAGTTATAATTTCATTATATATGTCTCTGGTTACGCCACTTCGAGTATTGTGCTTAGTCTTGGGATCCTTATCTTAGAAAGGGTATTGAATTGTTGGAAATTGTTTAGAGGAGGGCTACTAGAATGTTACCTTGGATGAAATGGTTGTCATACGAGACAGGTTACAGTCTTTGAAATTGTTTTCTCTTGAAAAAAGAAATGTTAGAGGGATCAATTTAAGGTTTTTAAAGTTGTTAAGGGAACTCATAGAGTCGATGCACCATCTTTATTTTCGTACTCAATGGTGAGAATGGTAGGACAGGAAACATAAATATAAACTTTGAATGTTTCTTTGGTAACATGATTTGAAGAGAATACTTTGAGATTGGCACTGAAGCAGCAGTAGAGATCAACGATGGTGGTTACTTCAGTGGTTGACCCAGCACTGAAACAACCTCAAGGTTTCATGATGGCCACAAGGCTCAACTGAAGCATTGACTAACGACTTCGTTACTACAGGTGCTGCAAGATTTCATGATGCAGCTGCATTGTTTCCTGTAGGACAACAGGGCTTCCAGTTGCCATCGTTGTACCACCTGTGAGGAAGAAATACCTTCAAAATGATGCCTAAATTATGAGAGATGGGGGAACTCTGCTTTTAAATGTGACTTATCAAGTTATTCGTTGTTGGATTGTTCATATTTTGTAATAAGAAAGGACAGTCAGATACAGTTTCTGTTTTGATCAAAACCACAGCAAATGCAGGAGGCTATGACTGTGGGAGGTACTTGGGCCTGTTTAAACTAGTAGAGCCTGAGGAGAGCTGGCCACAAGCTTGGGCAAGAACAGCAATAATCTTGCATCCGCAAGTACGGTCAATTATTTAGGGAGCTATTGATTTGGCATCATATGGTATATGTCTTTAGTGACACATAGCCATGAAGTTGAGTTTATACTAGATACTGAAGTGATGAGGACTTTACTCAACCCTGTAATCAGACATGCTAATGATTTCTTCAGCTACTTAAAAGCAACTTTGTTATGCTAAATTGTAGCATGCTAGATTAGAGTGTAGAGGAATATCTCCAACTTTTTCTTGGCATCGTTGCTCTCTTGCATGAAATTAGTTATCCTTGACCTTGATATGAAAGCAAAAGTGACATAGACAAGCCATATAGGTAGCATCACTTCAGAAGATCCGCATCAGAAGGCAATGCTTTGTTTTTCGAGCACCTTAGGTTGCTGGTTGAGGATTTTACTACCAATCAGAACTCAACACACACAACAACAAATACAAGAACTTAGGAATTGCTCAGAAATTTTGCCACAAATGGATAAATGACGTGAAACACTGAAGGTGCTTGTTTGTACAATATGCTGGATATGGCTTCTGAATACTAGCGAGTGGAACTGGATGAAGAAAGTGAACCTAAGACTGCTTTCATCACATAGGAAGTACTGTATGAGTTTTATGTTATGCCGTTTAGTTTGAGTAATATACCTAACAATTTCAAGTATATTATGAAACTTAAGGATTATAAGATAGGATAAGCAAGCTATCTTAATTATGTGGATCACATTTTTTGTTTTGATCATATCTTTCGGTTTAATGCTCAGAACATGCATATTTAAAGTGGAAACCAGGGAATTGTATGTTAAAGTGAATAGAAATGGAGTTCCTTAGTCACATAATTAGGGACAAAGAGCCCACTGATCTCAGCCTATGATCAAGCAAGAAATCTGCAGCTTTCTTACTTTTGCATCATACTATTGGTATTTTATTGACTAAATCCTCAAAGACAGCTATGCAATTCTTTGCATTGACCAAGACTGATAAAAACTTTTACTAATTATTAACGCGTGCTTTCACTGAAGCTCTGGTGTTGGTTTAGTCAAGGTTGTCCATTTACCTGATTAATGATGCCAATGGAAGTGAATTGGAACAATATTGTCACAAGTACAGAATGGCATTTGGTATGTGTTAGCTATACATTAGCAGCTCCTAAGCACCAATACTATACAACAAATGAAAAAATGCTCCCAGTTCTAGTATTTATGAAGGATTACGACAATTAGTTGTTACATATTAGGAATTCAATATTGTTAGGGTGATCAGTGAACTAGCTGACGAACTCCAGATATCTGGATTGAATTACTATAGAAAACTGACAGATTATCTCACCTTTCCATGCCTATTT